CTACGGAACAAAATATTTCCTAATACCTCCTGTGGCTGCTCTTTGCAACAAGATTTTCTGGGTTACTCCTAAAACATAGGTTAGAAAAGGTAAAGGGAATTAATTTCCTCTGAAATGTAACCTGTCACCAATGAGGAGGCATTGCTTTGTCTGGTAAAATAAAGGAATCTCAGAAGGGGACAGTAGAAAAGTTAGAAGTCATAAAAACAAAACAAAACAAAAAATAAATAAAAAGTATGTGATCATTTGGAGGTTCCTCAGTATCATGGTAATAGAGAAGATTTTTCAACACGCTGTAGACAAACATTTACATTTTTATACTTGTATGAAACACTCATCAGAATCTTCTGATATGTGTCCATCACTAGAGAAATTTAATGAATACTATTTTACTAGTGGAATTTTCCCACTGAATGCAAATGATTCCAAAAGTTTATATTCAGAATGTCTCATGCTTTTCTTTGTTAGACAGCTGGTAGAGGGAAAGGGTTGCAAAAATAAAGAAAATTATATATAATGAATAACCAGTTGCAGTAGATGCTAGGGAACTAAACATATTTTTATTGTGAGGACATTATGCTGCTATAACCTAACCTTCCCCACCCCTATAGGGTAAAGAACATTTAATGAAGGAGAGGATGCTTTTATTAATCTGTAGTCCATTTCTGTGCCATATAATATTCATTAGACATTCACTAGTAATTTCTTCCACCCACCCCTTATTTTGTAGATGAAATTCTTTTTTCCAACATTTCATAAGGAAAGAGCGCTAGTTAACTAACACACATTATTTATTTTTGCATTATAATCACTGAAGTCTTAACAAATGTATATGCTCTAACACATAGGAGGTCATCTTGTATTTTGTTTTGAGAAAATCTTTCAACTTGTGTATTATCAAGACTCAAAACTTCTGTTCCTTGAACATATCTGAAACTGTGGATTCCCTGGGCGTAGCTTAATTTCAATAAAGTCATCTCAGTGGTGTATTTTCCACTAGGGCATGTATGTTACAAATAACACGATTTTTGATTTTCTGGTCACTCTTTTTTTTTTTTTTTTTTTTTCTTTCCTGTATCCAAACTCTCTTCTCCTCTCCCTGCTCAGGTAATATTAGATTATTGATATAGTTGCTAGGCTAAGCTGTTTGGTTCTACCTCTACTCCTAAACAAAGTTAATGCCTGACTATTAGCTCTGCTTCTTTAGCTTTGGTCCAAAGCCAGTTTTCTGTTTACACTCAGGTATTTGATCAGTTACTTATATTGTTTTATTAGATTTTCTTTAGAAACAAGAATTATAGGAAGAACACCTCTTTAGAGTAGAGAATACCTCTTAAATACCTAAAGCTGAGAAAAATATTTATGTATTTTTGTGGTGAAGAAAGACAACTTTCTGAAAGCTTGAAACATTATCAAATGAAAGTGTATGTGATAGCATTTATTTTTACAACATACTGTTGCTCCAGTGAACTTGAACAGCAAGTCTGTGATCGATATTTCTCTCTTTCTCTCTCTCTCTTTTTTTTTTTTTTTTTATGTGTTTTGTTTTGTTTTGTTTTTTAATATAGTTTCTAAGGAGACTATTGGGTAAAAATTTCCCAAACCAAAACAATGCTATACCTCACCTCTTTTGGACTGTGAACACAATTGGTTCATATGCTTAATTGTTGACAGGATATTATTGCTTTCCTATTATATGTAATTTTATAGTACCTGCTTATAGTCAACTGCCCTTTGATATGTAATTTTACAGTATTTGCTACCAGTTTCTCAGACCCTTTTTATTGGTGCTGGCTAAATCAGGTGTATAATGTAAGAGCATCAGTATGAGGAGTTTGAGTGGAATGACAATCAATTGTCCACTAATTCTGCTGATAGGTTCCAAGTCTAGCCTTATGAAAGATTTCTGCCCCCTTTTCCAAAGTTTTGCTGATTAGTTTGACCTGGCTTGGGCAAGGGGCTACTGCCAAATTTGTAGGCCCTGATCCTGCAGTCAGATCTTCATATCTGGGATAACATTGACCTCAGCAAGTGCTTAGGCAGACAACTATACATTTGTTCCAGGAATGTTTCTACCTGTTTCTACTGGTTGCTGAGTTGATGAGAGTTTCCAAATATCTGGAAATGAGCAAATGCACCAATCATACAGGTCCTCCTCTTCTATATGGTCACAATAACTGTATCTGTCCATGTATCACTTGTACACCCCAGGGACTCTGGTGACAGTGTTCTCCAAATATATATATATCTCCCCATATAGACATAGTTATATCTGCATATGTATATATACTGTATATACTGTCATCATAGAATATATGCGCAAAAATATACATACATATATGCATTTATATATATACAATTAAATATAGGTCTCCTGAGTGCACTCATCTGGTTTCATATATTCTGTGTTGGAGATGATCTATTTTCTCCCATAGGATTCTGGACACAGGTCTGGCTTATGTCAATCACGTCACCTTATTCAGGTAAAGCACAAAAAGTAACAGCAAGGTCAAAGAACTGAGAATAATAATGAACTTTCCATTAAAAAAAAATAATAAATGTTCTAGATTAATGAGTGCCCTGGGCTTTTTTACAATTATAAAGTGCAAGAAGTAGCTGATTTGGGATTTTAGTTCTGTTTCCTTTCTTAAACACACAAATATAAATAAGAAGAAACACTGCTAAGTCCTCTGAGTGCAGTTTTATAAAACTATCTAAGAATGAGGTCTTTCTTCCTGGACTGTGGACTAATATTTTTATAGTTTTCTTTCTGCAGGAGTGATAAATGCAAACCAAACTTCCAAAATCCATTCCCTGTTCTTTTACTGATCCAGAAAATGACCGCAAGACATAGCTCTAATAAACCTATCTAAAAAAGGAACTCTGATCTCCTCAGTCCACTGAAATAATGTTTGCATTAATTTCTAGTTGTAATAACAGGTATGTAATTAATAGAATATATCAAGAACAGGGAGTATATTCTTGAGCTTACATTATTTTCCTATACTGAAATGAACATCTTTCTTTTTAAAATATATTTCATTCCTGGAAATAAAGAAACATTGCTTCTATTAATTTCCATGAGTATTTTATATAAAACTGTTGCTTATTTTTTCAAGTGCTTCAAGGGTGTATATATATATATATATGTATATATATATATATATATATATATATTTTAATACAGTTATTGATGTAATGTAGAGCACACTTTGTGCAACAAAAAGACTGATAGGACTGTGAGTTTTATTAAATGAATCAGGATAATCTGGGTAAACTGTAGTACAATACCTAGAGTTTAGTTACTTTTAAAACTTACATTTAACTGATAAAATGGAATTATGGTAAATGTGAACTTGAAAATCATTTTTATAAACTGATTACATTACAGAGTTGGTGACTTGGAAAACATCCCAATGATACCTGAGGGGTGCAGAGAGAGGATTAGATATACTGAGGAAAAAACACACAGAAGTGATCATTTTCCCACTGTATCCATTTAAAAAGCTGTAGTTCTTGTTTCTTCCAAATATAGCCTCTTTGCAATTTTCTTATTGCCTCAAATTTGTTAAAAGGAACGTGACGTCACTACAAATAGTTTCTTTAAAGTCTCCTCAAGCTGCATTTCACTTTGTAAGCATCTCAGAACAACTGAGTATGCAGGGCTAGATCTTGCCCCCTCCCACATTCAGAGAACTCTGCTGGAGTTCACTCTGGTTAATTCATGGAGTTGAAACTAAGCTTTGGCCTACCCTGATTTACAGGAAGGCCAGTGAGGCATCTTCTTTTTACCTGTGTTTTTCTTCAAACTTTTATTGGACAAGCCTTTGCCCCTCCAGCTGCCACATTTCCTTTTCATTACTACTATTATTGTTATTACTTTATTTAAGGGATATGGGAAGAAAATGAATTTTCAAGTCCCAGACCTCTGCTCCATGAAGACACACATGGTTATGCCAAGGGCTTGTGCCACAGAACAATTCAGAAAGTCAGAAACTGAAATATGAATTGGATTATAAGACAGAAGTCATGGAGCTGGAGTAACATATAAAAGCTGGAATCAAAAATTGCTAAACTGAACAGAAAGTGTTATAACTGGCCGTATATTTCTTTAACATTTTGCTGAACAACTTGCTTTTATTAATTTTACCTACCACAAAAGGATGTTGCATACAATAATAATTTTGTGTTTGTAAGTTTGAAGACATAAATTCCCATAAAGTGTCAGTGCTCTATATAATATGGTAGATATACATATATTTTGTTAAATTCTGGAGGTAGAAATATTGAATTTGTCTTTGGTGTTACGATTGTATTCTACCTCAGTAATATAAAAATGCATAGTAATCAAAATTAAACAAAAATTAAAAATATAAGAAAAAAAACTCTTGCCTTTTGTCTCAAGTAAATTTGATGCTAATTTTGTTTCATATGACAACCCCTCCCCCCATCAAAAAAAAAAAAAAAAAAATCACAGACAACGGATAGTTTCTTTGGCAAAGAAACACACTTTGAAGAGAAAGTTCACATTGAGAGGAGTCTTGAAGGCATCCTGTTGCCCTGTCCAAAAGCTGCTTCAGAGGATAAAACAGTGGTCATTTCCCCAAATGCCAGCCCTCTGATAGATGGGGCAGCAGCAGCAAGGAGTGTGCTGTGCAGTCTCTCCTGGAATGCTTTAGGCTTTAGGATAAATACTAATATTTAGACAGAGGAATATTTACGGATATTCACCTAGCCAAATGCTGCAGCTGTAAGTGTAGATGGCAAAGCTGCATGTGAAGATGGCAAAGCAGCCAGACCCCTTCCTAAGGGTTTTTTTTTTTTTTTTTTTTTTCTCTCTGCTAACTATAATGGGTGACTGCTTTTCTGCCTAAACAGCTCTAAAGGGCTATGAAAACTGAAGTCCTTCAAAGCTGTTTAAGGTTTCCTCGGATTTACAATAAAATTCTGCATTACATATCTCCTAGTAAAATCTCTGAAGCATTGCAAGCAGTACTTACATAATTGTCCATTAAGTCAGTATTTGTGTATTCAACACCTAGAAAATAAGGAAAGTGATTGTGGATAGGGAAGGGAAAAAAAACAAAGGCAGAGGAGGAAACGGAAAAAAAAAAAAAAAAAAAAAAAAAAAACCTACCCTCCAACAGCCATGCAGCTATTAAACATATGCCAAAGTAAACAATAGTGTTAGGGTCTGCCATAGCTTTGCCCTGCAGGTAGACGGCAGGCGGCACAGAAGGAAAGCAAATGGAAAGGAAAAGAGAAAGACAGTACAGGATGTGGATGAGATGCCGAGCCCTGAGAGCATGAACGGCCTGATTGTGATCCTCAAGTCACACCATCAGCCATGCAAAACAGGACATACCTTTCTGGCTTGCTGGTTCTGTCGGCTGAAACAAAGCAGTCCCATTCTCAGCGGGAGGCCAAATCAAAATGAAATTTTATTTAGTCTGCACTGTCCCCAGATTGGGTTTCAGAATGACTGCTTTAGGAGATAGCATGGATGTGGCTGATGCATGCTTTGCATATGAAACTGCAATAGAAAAAAAAAATCTACATAATCAAAAAAATCTGTGCTGTGTGTATGGCAAAAACCCCTGGACGTTAGTGAATCAGCTACAATGGATGTTTTAAAAAATGACCTTTCTGAATAAAGTGCACATTTGTGCTCTGCAATACTATTTTCAATAAATATATTATAGATCATTTTGCATGTAATTATTTGCAATCTGCCCTGAGAGACTGAAATATCAAATCTTTTTTTTTTTTCTTTTTTTTTTTTTTTTTTTTTCTTTCTTTTTATTTTATTTTATTTTATTTTTTAATCACGGAGCAGAATTACAATTTGGAAACAAATGCAGAAAAAATATCCATCTAAAGAGGGCTTCTCTGTCTTGTGGTGCTTGTTACTGATTGAACCTCTGAATACTCTTCAATTTAATGTTTTGTTTAAGTCCCTTCTTCCCAGAGTATCCAATGGCCTACTGCAGTAAAGGACGTTTTTTTTTTTTTTAAATTTTTTATTTTTTTCATACCACTGATCTAATTCATCCCACCTTGCACTTTTAGGAAAGGATCCATTCTTTGATTACACACTTAATTTTCCAGGCTATTAATAAATAAAAAAGATCATCAACTAAACACACAGCATTTTCAGTAGAAGTTAGAAATAACTTACAAAGGCAAGGAGTAGTCTACAGAATATGCAGGGCATACACCATGTAATGCCTTTGTTGTCAGTTATGCTGCAAATGAGATTTTCAAATAGGATTTGTAGAGGCAGGACAGTGATCAACACAGTGCAACATCCAGGAAAGGGAAGTTGAGCACAGTGTTCTGTAAGACAAGGGGGCAGAATAGAGTCTGTTTGTAAATACCTATTATTATCCAAAGAAAACACTTATCACTGCTTGATTTTGCCACACTAGCCACTTGGAATAGGTGATACCAGTAATTTTGTATATGCACATCTGTGTGGGCATGGGTGTTTGTATTTATCTGTGTGCTGTGCATGTAAGGCTGTAGTCTGTGTACATATCTATGTATGATGGTTACCCTGTAAAAGACAAGCCAAAGGCAGAACAAACAATGCACATGTTTTCAATTGACAGATATTTCTATGCTAAAACAAGCAGTGCTAATACTGTGCTCTATAGCGTATGGACAGCCAAAGAATGGGAAGAAAAAAAAAAAAAAGAAAAAAAAAGCACCATAAAATCTTTAAGAATGTAAAGGGGATAACAATCCCAAATAAACAATACAGATAAAAACTTCCAAGAATAATGAGATACAGTGCAAATCATTCACACAATGTGCTTTCACACAGCAATGACGGAAGTCACTGACAACAATGCAACCATGTGCAAATACTCCTTGGAGAAACAGTCGAGCAAATTTTGTAATTCTATCTTCTGTGTTTTGCAGGCTGAGTTTGAGACTGTGTAACGAAATGTGCTAGAATACTGGTGCTTTAAAATTAAGCATTGGGCATTATGGAAGGTAACTTCATAACGAGTTTTCCTATTGCTATTTAAAGCTAGATATCCATAAGGAGCACAGTGAAAAATATAACATTTGTTCTCCTTATGTCTTGGAACAACTGTTTTTATATTTGTAGTCATCCTAACTGTTGTTCCAAACAAGATATTCAGATAGTCCCCAGCCTCATGCTGTATCATATTTATTCTGATGTATATCTCTTAGTAAAGCTTTGTCTACATTGAATTAATTTGTGTGTGTGTGTGTGTTATTATTTTTATAAGTGCTGCTTTTTTTTCCTCACAGAACTTCCCACTTCAGGGAAAAAGAAATATGTGATTGCTTTAAAAATAGAAGACCAAAACCAAAGCTAGTATTCCCAAAATTCAATGCACCTGGCATTCACTTTATACCTAATAAGCATCCGTGAATATGCAAATGTTCAATGTCTCCAGTAACCTCATTAATTTATTCCTCAGGCAATCAAAGAATGTGAACCAGTCCTCTGCTACTAATACTGGAAGTGGTATGCTGTTCAGCATTGCGAGAATCAGCTGAAAGCACATTCTGCATATTGAAAAACTGTTTCATCTTTCTTCCTTCCTTTGCCACTCTGATTCAAACAAAGGCTTCCTACCTCAGTTTACATAGCTGACAGCAAAAGTTGAAAAATGCCAAAAAATAATTAAGACACATATATATATTATAAATATATTCATGTGCATGTATACATGCTGGGAAGATAAACAGTTTCAAGAGATCTCAGCAGAATTCCAGTTTGAAAAGTACCTGAATTCTCTTATTTATTTATTTGGAGGGGGGAAACTTGGGAAGGGGAGGGTGGGAAGAAATGACCTGCCTCCTCCTCTGCCGAGCAGCTGAATAATCTTTTCCTTTGCCCACATTAAAAGCCCTGAATAATGTTTATAAAATGTTAGGGAATCCCGGTAGGTTTCCTATTTAACAAGCCATGTATGACAAATCACAGTGTAATGTACTACGTTCTTAATCTTTAATTAGAATGTGAATATCTGCGAGAGAACGCAGTTAACTTTGACACATTAAATCTTCTGGTTAAAGTGCCTTACAGGAAGTGCAAAGATGAAACACTGCAACAATCTACTGCCTCTCTCCATTCACCCAGACAGTTGGGGAAGGATGATAACATCTTGTAATACCTGCTCTGTAGTAATTAATCGCTGTGGTATTTAGGACCATTCAAGTAGACAAATATGACAGAGACAGGGACAATTAGGAACCTTGTTCAAGCTACATTAACTTTTCCAGCTATTACAACACAGCAGCTCAAGTTTGCTTGTAAAAGCTGCAGAGGGATTGTTATGCATTAGCCGTGCGATTATTAATGAAAGAAAAGGAGAATTGTGTTTATTGTAGTTTGAAAATTGCAAATAAATTTCAATTATCTGCTATGTCATTTTGTTAAACATGCATTCTGGAAATGCCTTTGTACTCTAAATCATGAGCTACTTAGAGCAAACTAATACTAGAAAGCCTTTGGGAGTTATGAAGTCTATATTTTTGTTGAACCATCCTTCTTCCTTGTTGAAATGGGAGATGGAATGAGTACCTGAAGATATTTCAGATAGTTAGCCAGCCCCATGGATGCTGTGGTGCTCTATTTGCTTCCACATACCAGGAGGCAGCCGAGTCAGGCTTCTTGCAAGCTTGGGCACATGGCAGACTGAACATGCGCTCCGTTCCACTACAGCAAGGAAGCCGACATCCCTCAGCAGCCACATGCACAAAGTGCAGACAGATAAATGCATAAACAACTTTGGGGAAAAAAAGCCCCCACCAAAGGCCTTCATCTCATTCCCATTATTGCCACAGCCATCAACAGAATGAGCTGGATGAAACACAAGGGAAAGATTTGGGACCTGGTATGGATTATGTATTTTAAAGGTTATATGCTGTGCTTTACTTTCCCATTGATAAACAGCAGCAAATGCACACAGATTGTAAAGTTCATGTTTTAACTATATATTCGAGGATGTGTAGTTTGCTATTGCTATTCAGTACCACACAAACACTTATTGGTTCTCAAAGTTAAAGGAGGACAGCCAGAAAACAATTGAACTGGACAAATATTGCAAGGACATTGGCATGACTATTCCCTTGATTATTTATTTATTTATTTATTTTGTCTTTTAAAATGAAAATACCTAAACCTGTGGCCCTTTTATGTTCAGTTTCCATGAATATTTGAACTAGAGTTTCTTAGCAGCATGAAGGCTCACAGAAAGCTAATTTGAAAGTCATACGTGCAAGTGTTTGTGGAAAACGAATTCTAAATTTGCATGTGCAAATATTTGCACTGGGTATGCTGCCCTGCTCACCCAGTCAGTGAGCAGAAGCACTTCCACGTGCCTCATTGGGCCAATCACATCTGAGGGACCCAGCTTGAGTTTCAAATCTTGTGTCAAATTTGCCCAGTGAACTTGTTTATGATCAAGCTGTAAAGTAGGAAAAAAAAAAAGTGTTAAAAGTGTATGAAATGTACTTGAACAACAAATGTTGATTTGAGATGTGTGGCTGGGCATTTCAGAGGCAGGAACAGAGGCACACTGGCACAAAACAGTTTGTCAGAAAGTCTCTGGTAAGAGTGTTTTTAACTCCTCTCTTGTTCCAGAGGGTGAAAAAGAAAGGGAAAGGGCAAAAATATTGGTTGGAACAGGAATCATTCTCTGTCCATCTGCCCACTTTATGGTCAGTCTATTAAACTACCACCCTTAAAATTTAAAATATGAGTAAGACTCCAAAGGCTCTCTTGAATGTGTAGGAAAGAACTCAACCATGTATCTGTAGGTGAGGTCTCTCAAGCTTGTCTGTTTATTGTTTTTGGGTTTGATTTTGATTTTTTTGTATTTTTCAATTTTGGTAGTAGCACACTACACAGCCTCATGTATGTCGTTTTCCGCGCCCTATATCATTGTACCCTAGAAAGAAAAAGAAAAGCCAGCTTAGCACGGCAGAAATCTGCGTCCCCACCCCAGAATCTGTTGTCACAAAATGAAGGAGGGAGGGGGCCGGGGCGGAGGGGGGGAGAAGGGGAAAGCAGCTCAGTGCACAGCAACAATTCCCCCTCTCAGCTGAGCTGCAATGATGTCAGCTTTCTGATTACAAACTGCTTATTTATGCTTCAACAGCTGCCAAGAGCAGCAAATAAGTGGCTAAAAGAGTGTCTAGACCAGGCATTCAGGCCTCTATTGTTTGCTGGTTGTTACCTGGTTGACAGCGATGGGTACAGCTGCCTGGTGTGAAAGAGAGCAAGGGATGGGGAGGCAGTGATTGACAGAAGGGCCCTCGGGGTCAGGCACAGCCGGCCCCGATGGCCCCATGGCTTTATGTTCCCTGCTCTAAAGGGAAAGCGATGGCTCTGCCTAGAGGTTGGAGGTGAAAGGAAATGTTTGAGGGTAATGGGAAAAATCCTTTAGCCAAATTTGTGATCATGAACAGTTACTCCGGGGAATTTAAGGCAAAGTGTTAGGCAGCTTTCTCTATATGCAGAAATGGTTATTGGTGGCGACTGTAGGAATAATAATGTGCTACATGCCTGCATGCAAAAATGTGTCTTTGCACAGTCCCTCACACTGGAGTTTAAAACTGTGTGCAGTTTTATTCTTATGTAGGTTAAAAGCTGATAGCACTGCT